TCATAGTTAGGCCAAACTCATTTCTTTTTGTTTCTCGGAGAAGTCCCATTATCTTGGCGTGTTGAAAAGTAGTCTACGGTTGCTCTTTCGTCCATCAAATCTGAGTTTAGCTCTTGTGACCATTGCAATGAATCTTATTTGGCTATGTTGGTTATTACATGATTTCTCTATCTCCATCAATTCTGCAGCTCCCTATTGTGATAATATTTCAGCATGTTCTTCTATATTTCTTGCTTCTTTTCACTCCACGAGGTTTGATGAGATGAAACGGCTTTCTTCTCTATTTCTTCCTCATTGTTTTAAAAAGTATGCATGCTTTTTTCATGTGCAGATTTATGATGCCAAGGGGTTATAAATCTAAATATCAAGCTTGATGTTGTATGTAAATATATAAGAACAGTGGTATGCATGCTAAAAAGATGGAGGATATTTAAATACGTATTAAAAAAAATTTAAAGGATTAATCTTGTTTTTACAGTCTCTTACCTTTTGAATATTTTATATTTAAAGTAATTCTATACACACCATCAATTCTCACGTATTTACTTATCTAACCACTAAAATTTCAATTTTTTACATATATGTTACCTTACCTATACATGAACAAATGTATTTTTTTATATAAGTTAAAATTGTGGTATTTTTGATGTGATCTAAAAGATTTGAATGATATAAATATAAAAAAACAAAGTTTAGATGTTGCATGTGTAAATATTTATAGAGGTGTAAATGAATCGAACACAAACGAATAGAGCTTGTGTTCGTGTTCGGTTCGTTTGAAATTTAGTTTGTTTGAAATAAACTCGTGTTCAAAATTGTTTGTGAAATTATTGTTCGTGTTTGTTTTTTAACGAACGAGCCGAATACGTGCTGTTCGGTAAAGATGAGCTAGTTTGACATCCTTAAGAAGTTCAAAGAACGTCAATGTATTAAAAATAATTATATAACTTATATTATATAAATAATAATATTTATATTAATATATTACTTGTATACCTTATTAATATATTATTATTATTATTGATTTATTATATTTAATAATTTATAAAATTTAATTTTTAAAAATATCATAAATTTTTTATATAAAATTATTTTATATTTCGAACAATAACGATTCGAACACAAACGAACACATCACTGTTCGTGTTTGATTCGTTTAACTAATCGAACGAAAAAAAAATTGTTCACGTTCATCTCGTTTACTTATCGAACGAATCGAACACGAACTCATTGATGAACCGAACACAAATTGTTCTCGAACAACAAGCTTTTTTGACAGCCCTAAATACCTATGAATCGGGTGGTACGATTTCTTCACAAATGTAATGATCGTCTTATTAAATGAATGAATGAAATCATCATTTTAAAATGAATTTTTAACTATAATGCAATCAGATGAACCTATTGGCTTAACAATTAATTTGTTTGTTTGAAATTTTAAGCTAAATGACAGCAGCTATTATTATCTATAAAATAAACTATGTCATTTTAATGTCTTTTATTTTGTTTGGGCTTTGGATGAGACACGGCGATGGAAAGGATGGCAGTCGTTTCGGACAACTTAGGAGTCTTACTTTCTAATATTCAAAAAAGTTTTATATTTATATGTAATTTCAAAATTGTTATCTTAAATTATGTATTTTATAAATAATATATTCGCTTAAATTTATGACATTTTCTTCCATCTTCTCTTATTTAAATTTTTAATCTCTCATAAATAAATTATTTTATTAAGTA